AGTGGCAGAACCCACATTCATCACCGCCCTCTGCTGCACAGCTCCTGGCTTCTGGACTGTGAAGGAACAAGAACATACATTCCTGTCTGCGGAGCCTCTGCTCTCTTCCCAGGGCCCCGGCTGCCCTCTCTGTCTGAGGCTGATCACACAATCTCTCTCCTGTTGCATGGACAGAGGAGTGCTCTCTGAGAGTCAGCTGCTGCTCATGAGCCGCTGGGAGAAAAATGGAGAAGCAGTAAGCATGATGCAGAGGAGAAAATTCCCTGACTCAACCTTAGAAAGAAGGCCCACCCTTCAAAACCTCCGGTTCTCACAATGTGTGCCAGCATGTAAGGGAGGGGAAAGAGATTGTTAAAAGCCACTATAGGAAGAGTGGACATGCAGGGAGCTAAAGCCTTCTACCACAGCACACAGACCTGTCCTGGGAATACTGGGCAGGGCACACAGAGAGAGCCCTGTGCTGCCTGGCGTGGGGATGCTGACCCAGAGGAGGACTGAGGAATGAGGGCATGCCTGACAGCTCGGGCTCTCCTTAAGCATGAGCTACCAGCCAGAGAAATGACTCCTTCCCGTAGTCCCTGAGCAGTGGACAATTAGCCGCTACTTACTCTGTGTATAAATTCTAGTAGGAAGGCTGGATAATTCGATCTCTACTTCAGTGATGAGGTTCTTCCTCCCAAATTTGATCTTGCCAATCTCCCAAATAAACCCCCACATTGCACAAAATATGGTCTCCACGTGGGCTTCATAATAGCCAGAAGCAAACAGGCAAGGACACATGTCTATAGACTTTCCAGCCAGCTGCTGACTGACTACCCCATATAGCCCTTCTGCTAGCAGCTTAATGGGACATAGAGATCACATGGTCCTCATTAATCCATAAAATGAGAGATATGAAAGAATGGGGGCCTTTTGGGGTCAAGGGAAAAAACTGTGTGTTGTAAGTTAGGAATGCTTCCAAGAGATGTTCAAGTTCAGACCTAAGAGGTAGCAACTCACTGGACTGGGAGGCTAGAACATTAGAGAGTAGAAGAATAAATACCAAGCGAGCATTCCCCACAAGCAGGGTACCGTCTTAGGCCAACTAGGTAGCGCTCCGGTGTGGCCTTTTCAATCACAAAATAGGTATCATAAATAAAAATATGAGAGTGGCAGAGGGAAGCTGCTAAATGTCTGGTACAGAGAGATGCTAGTCATTCAGGAAAGGCACCATCCCCTCGACAGGCTGGGTGGTTGGGAAAGGCCTCACAGAGAAGGCCACTTGACACAATCCTTAAAGCAGAGAATTTTTCTAGACCTATGTTCTCCAAATCACTTTAAAATTGCTTTAAAAAGCAGAGATCCCTGAATCCCACCCCAGATCTACTGAATCTAAGAATGTTATCCTGGAAGCACTATTCTTTAAAAAAAATTACTGTTATGGCAAATTTAAAACATACATTAAAGAAGACAGAACAGTGACCCCCAGCGTCAGCAATCATCAACTCACGGCCACTCTTCCCTCCCCTATAGCCTTATCTCTTCCCCTCCTCCAGTATTAGGGAATCAACATATTTTTTAAACCAGAGACTCTGAGGCAGTGAGACCATGGGTGCAAACTGAGGACTACTCACTGATCAAGATGCAGATTAGGAGCAAGGGAGTTTCGGGACAGTGGGGACAAAGGCTCAGGGCAATGAAAGACAATGGTATTTGGGGAAAATAGCAAATAATCTGGAGTACCTAGAGGGTGGGAGACACAGGATAATGGTGATAAGGTTCAAAAGGGGCAACCAGGGCCCTCTTAGCACACGTGGTATCTCTGTGAGAAACACAAAAAGCATCTCCACTGGGTAGGAAAAGCCAGCCACACACACAGAGTGGGTCAGGATGCCATCTGCCCTCCAGCCTGTGCCCTTCACTCCCCGGCCACCATGCTGCACCTCCGAGCTGAGCACAGCAAACCCCAGAGGAAGGACAGGAGGGAGCCTGCAGGCCAGCAAAGGGGACTTTATCTTATAGGGGCTGAAGGATACTAAGAAGGGAAGGAAACATGTGACAATCAGCCCATGCTCTGAAATAATACTGGGCAGTGGTGGAGGACGAGGGGGTTAGACAGGAGGGCAGAAAACTGAGAGGCAGTGAGTGAGTCAGGCCAGTACACCCCTGCAAACCAGCCAGGGAAAAAGGAAGAAGGCCTTGAAGAGCAGGGCTTGGGAGTGAGGTCTGACAGAGAGAGAGAGAGATCTTATTTGGGGTTCTGGGGAGAACTGGACACTGGATACAGTGACGTGGGTGTCGCTGGCAGACAGGAGTCAGCTGAAGGCACACAAATGTTCAGATTGCTCAGTGAGAGTGTTTACAGTAAGAATAAAGAGGGATGAAGGACCTGGGAAAACCAGCATTTAAAGAATGGGGATGGAGGGGAGAGGGAACCAAGCAAGGTATTAGAGAAATTGACAAGAAATGGTCAGGGAGATGGGAAGGAAGGAGAGAGTATGACTCATAGAATTAAAAGAACAAAAGTGTTCACAGGTGTGGTGAGAAGAAAGCATCTATTTAGAGAAATAGAAAGGAGAAGCAAATTGGAAATGTAAGGGAAAGTCAAGTTTCAGAGCACGTGGGATGACGAGCCAGTCTGGACTCAGACTTGCGTGAGCTCACGGTGCACAGCACCGGCTTTTTGGTCAGCCATGAAGTCTTCCGAGGTCTGACACTTGGCAGGTACGGCCTTAGGCAAATCATTTGGCAGTCTCTGCATTCCTGCCAGTACCTGCGATGGTTACACCCACTCCAACAGGGGTGGTATGGGGATGACGTCTCAGAGAATGACAGTTCTCCTTGTTACTGGCACCTAACAATGCCCAGCCTTGTGTTGGGGTGATCTTTTTTCATATCTAACTCCTGTATCTCTAATTAGCTCGTAAGCGGCTTTGGGGTCAGAGATTAAGTTTTTAAACTCTTTTAAGTCAATGGTCATCTGTTAACTATTTACTATGTGCAAGGCAAGAAGAGCATGTAAAATAGGAAGATTGAAGGGTTAAAAAAGAAGAAATGTCCCTTAAGAGAGTTTGTAACATACTGAAGGATCCCCATGGATGGCTAACCCTAATGCAAAAGAAGAGTGGTAGGCACTGCAATAGTCTCAAATCACCATTCACCCCCAAATTGCAAATGAGTGTGGAGGATGGAGAGACTCACTCTGGGGGGTGGGACCAGGCTTTACGCAGGCAGGCAGCACTGTGTGAGGCTTCTGGGCTCAACAGAGAAAGTGGAGAGGAGGGCATAAGCACAGGGAAGTTGGGAATTGACAGGGAGTTTGAGGAAAGCTAAGAACCATGGTGGGTTCAAAACAAGGCACTGTGGGAAGTGAGGAGAGAAAGGTGTATTAGGATGTGGTGGACACAACCTTAGGCGACCCCCAGTGAGTTAGGCTCTGCTATAACCCTATAATCCCCTCCCCATGAATATGGTGGAATCTGTGACTTACCTCTAACGAAAAGAATGTGGAAAAGGGGACGTGACATCACTATTGTGATCATGTGATGTTTCAGGGCAAAGGGATTTTGCAGATAAAATTAACATCCCTAATCATTTGATTTTGAGTTAAAGGGGAGATTGTCTTGGATTGGCCAGATTTCATCAAGTGACCCCTTTAAAGGTGGGGGGGGGCTTCATATGTTCACTGGCATCAGAGACTCAAAGCAGGAAAGACTTTCTCTCCTGCTGCCTTGAAGAAGCAAGCCACATGAGTTTGACAGCTGCAAGGAAATAATTCTGCCCACAATCACATGAGCATGAAAGAAGACTCCCCATTTCAGAGAAGAATGCAGGCTGGCTGACACCTCAATTACAGCAGAGACCCTGAGCAGAAGGCCCAGGTACTCCTAACCCACGGAAACCATGAGGTAATAAATGGGTGGTGTTGTAAGCCGCTAAGTGCAATAGGACAAATGCATGGCCATGATTAGCAGGCTGAAAGGTATGAGCTTTATTGTGCAGGCCACAGGAGCAAGAGACTATTTTTGAGCAGAAAGACACATAACTTTAGGAAGCTAAGAGATGTCAGTAGGAAGGGAAGCCTGGGGCGGGGGGCAGTTAGAAACCCTTGAAGATCATTTAGTCAGGGGACTGTTCCTAGAAGCACGTCAGTAAAGTTCAGGTGAGTGACTAAGTGCTGGCTTGAACCAAGTCAGCTATTCTTCTACCTAATCAACTGAAAAAAAAAAAGAGGACGCAAAAACCAAGTAAAGAAATTGACAGTCATTGAAAAAACCTTAAGGAACTTTAGTGTCCTTGTTGCTAATTATAAATATTTACTCCTTCCAGAATTCCTGACCTCACAGAAAAGTCTGCGTAAATAGTTCTGCTCCCTTACTGGAAAATCTGCGTGTGTGTGTGTGTGTGTGTGTGTGTGTGTGTATGTGTGTGCGCGTGTGTGTGTGTTCGTTCTTATGTTTTCTTGGAAGAGGGACAGGGCAGTAATAAGGGACTGGATGATCTGCAAAGAGTCACTTCCTGTTGGATATTGTCTAGTTCCTTTCCTTTCCTCCTCCCCAAATCATAAATCCCGAGACCCCCAGGCAACTCCTCCTTCCCTGATTCTATCTGCTGGAGACAACGAGGCCAAACAAACTCAGGAAGTGGCAAGAGGCTAGGAAGGGGAGGAAGTTCATGGCACAGGAGGAAAAAGTAAAGAGAATGGCCTGATGGTAAAGGAAGAGGGCGGGACAGAGAGAAGTGAAGTCGCCCCAAGGTCGCTCGGCGCCAAGTCTTTAAAATGTTGTGCTTGGGCTTTCAATCAAAACTGGCACAAACAGTGGGTCAGATCTCCTGGGGCCACTCAAATGTTAACATTCACAGTGATAAACAGCCCCCAGAAAGTCCTCTGTGGGCAAATTGGAACAAACAACTAAGCTAACGTGGGTTGCTAAGAGACCGACTGGGCAGGGGCCAGCGCTGGTTCAGTGTCTGGAGAATTCCCCACTGTTTCACTTCCGGGGAAAGAGGAGAAGAGCTACCTGTAGATGACCCCATGCTGGTGGAGGAACATGAGGGCTGACGTAACCTCTGCAGCGTAGAACCGGGAACGAGGCTCGTCGAATTTTCGGGAGCGCTGAATCTGGAACATGAGGTCTCCACCATTTACATACTCCATGACAAAAAAGAGGCGGTCCTGAAGAGGAGGAGAAAATGTCACTTAGCTAATGAGAGAAGATGAGTAAGTGCAGCACATGAATTAGGGTATAAGGCGTTATTCTAAAACCTCTTTCACTCTTACTTTTATAGACATTAGCTTAGTCGTGTGGAAGAAGCCCAAAATTGACAGAGAAGAGACCTAGGTCTTTGATTTGTCACCACCTGCAAGCAGTCTCTGTTCCTTCGGAGGCTCCAGTTAACTTTATACTTATGGTGGGTTAAATAGCGACTTGCCCAAAGATATTCATGTCCTAATCGCTTAACATGTCAATGTTATGTCAGATGGCAAAAAGGGACTTCCCAGATGTGGTGAGTGAAGGATCTTGAGATGGGGAGATTATCCTGAACCACTGGGTGGGCGCTAAATGCAATCACAAGTGCCCTGGTTAGAGGGAAATGGGAAGATTTGAGAAGGTCATGTGCCCTTGGAGGCAGAGACTGCAGTGAGGTAACCACAAGCCAAAGAACGTGGTGGCCACCGGTAGCTGGAGAAAGCACAGAAGGGCTCTCCCCTAGGGCCTCTGGATGGAGCACTGCTCAGCTGACATTTTGATTCTTTGATCTGGGCCCAGTGACACTGGTTTCACACTTGTGGCCTCCAGGAGTATGAGAGAGTATTTTCTTAATGTTTTAAGCCACCAAGTTTGCGGTAATCTGTTAAGGCAGTCCTAGGGAACTCATACAAAGCCATGCAGACTAATGAGGTTGTGAGGGCCCCTTGCTGTGAGGGCCACTTTCCACTTTGGAAGATGTGTCTTCTGGGAATCTCCCCTTAGCACGCTTCCTATGGATTCTTTCCTCAAGGCAGCATTCAGAAGGACCAATGGCCACACTCTATCAGAGCAGGGCCTTCTCATCTGCAATCCATGATACTGATGATATTCTCTTCTGTCGTTTCTTGACTACTGTTCTCTAAGCCCACAGAGTGTGGGGTGCTGTGCTAGGCAGGAGGCAAAGAATTTACAAGCCAGCACTGTCCTTGCGGTGGACATATGATCCGGGGGCAGAGATGGGAAATGGGCAGAATGATGAAAACAAAAGAGCAAAATGCCTTAAAGACATTGGGTGCTAACGGGGTTAGGAGAAAGGGGAACTCTTGGATCAGAGTTGGGGGAGAGGCTGGAGGAGTCTGAGTGGGGCTAGGCCCCGAGAGGATGAGAGGGTTGGGGGGAGGAATGAACCAATGTGGAGATGTGGGAACAGAATGAGGATGCTCAGGGACCGGTACACTGACCAACTCAGTTGTGGGAGGAGGGTTCACGGGCAAAGGGGAACAGTGACATTTGCGAGGCCAGAGTAGTACAGTACATTCTGAACACAGAGATAAAATCTAAGTGAAGTTCCCAGGAGGATGGTAGCATACTGTTTTCAATCAAAATTAGTAGACTCATTTCCATTAAGACTGAGGAAAAACCACAATTTATAAGGCAGTTCCAACAGCATACCTACTTTATTATTGGCATCTCTTTGCGAATAAGTCCATTGTTAAGAACTGGTACAAAGTCAGATTGCTTTCTCTTTCTCCACAATCTCCAGAATTATTCAAGCTTTACTGGTATTCACAAAGGGCCTGTGGTGTAGCTTCTTTCCACTTATCTTGTGCTTCCCCTTCAAGCCTTGCCTTGGCTTCTCCCCACAGTACAATTTTGTTCTTAAAAGTGAAAAGGCCTCTTTGCCAACTATTCATTTAATCATCCATTCCCCCCTTCAAATTCTCATTTCCAAATCCAATGCTCAGGCTGACCCCAGCTCAACGAAACCAAAATTTCTGAGGGTGTGACTGAGGCATCAGTAGTTTTCAAAGCTCCCCATGTGATTCTAATGTGCAAGCCAGGGTTGAGAAACACTCTTCCATCTGGTTTCTGCCAAGGTGTTTTACATCTGTGACATATATGTACTATAAGTTATTTGCATTTTCCTTTTTTTCAAGGATCCCCCAGGAACCCTGGTTCTCAGATTTGTGTATCAGAATCACATGGAGGCTTGTGAGAACATGAATTCCTGCTTCCTGCCTCCTGTTCCCTTCAGGGTTTCTGATTCAGAAGATCTAGGGTAGAGCCAGAGACTTTGCATCTCTAACAAGTTCCCAAGTGGTGGTGACGCTGCCCGTCTGCAGAGCCCCTCTGAGAACCACTGCCCTCGATCACTCCGGGCGAGCCTTTCACATGGCAAGGATGTCTGTATCATGCATTCAGCACTGTCCTAATCTAGCTGAACCTAATCACACTATCACAAATAGCTGCTGCAATGTCATTCCATGGCCACCAACTTGGACTTGAGCTTCAGCAACAATAGAGTATTTCCTTGGCTGTGTTTGAAAGAATCCAAATATCTAAAAAGGAAAAGCCTCCCCTCTCCACTCCCCTTCCTGGTTATTTTGTATTCTCCCAAAACTAGACACACAGCATTTAAGGACAGGGGCTGCGGAATGAGGAGGTGGAGCTCCCACCAGATTTTACTTCTTGGCTGTGTGAACTCAGGCAGATGACTTCATCTCTCTGTGCTTAGTTTTCTCAGCTGTAAAAATGAAGATAATAATAGAACCTGCCTTACAGACTTCTTAGGATTAAATTATACGTTAAAATGCCTGTCTCATAATCAGAGCTCCATAACATTGTCTATTACTATTGTTACTGACAGTATTGTGGCTATTATTATTACCAAGTTTTCATTTTTCCTGTCCTTTCAGCAGCATTTTTCCCGGGCTGCTTCCTCTTCCAACAAAAACTTGTTTCCCTCGGCTTTCAGGCTGGATCTTTCTCTGTTTCTGGCAGGGTATTTTTTGCCTCCTCTTAAAGTCTTCTCTTCTCCCCAGTCTTTAGAGGTCAGAATGCCACAGGCTGGTTTCTAGGCCCTCCCCCTTTCTTACTCTGCCCTCGCAGAGTGATCTCATCCACACCCGGGGTTTAATGACTCACAAATGTCTACTTGCATCCCAGGCCTCTCCTCCAAGCTGCAAACCCATTTACCCAACTGCATTTCTGACATCCCTCTAGGCGCCTCAAAGGCACTCAAACCCAGTATGTTCACAAGTGACTTCATAATCTTGTGCCAGCAAACGGGTCCTTATCCAGGGTGCTTGTCTCAGGGCAGAGCTCAACCATTCAGCCAACTGTGCAAGTCAGAAACCTGAAAGTCATTACGAATACCTCCCTCTCCACCATCTGTCACATCCATCGCCAAGGCCTATTGCTTTTACTACTGTATCTCTGTACTTAATATTCTTGTACCTGTTACATTTGTCTGCTTTTTATTTTTGCTACTTCATGGTCACTATTCTGGCCTAAGCAATTATCATCTTTTGTCTAGATTCTTACAAGTGCCCTCTTACCAATACTCTCACCCTGACCCCAGCCCCTCACCCAATGCTGATCCCTCTATAGGCAGAGTAATTCTGATGACAGCCCATCTTTCCTCCCCTCATTCTATTAATTCTTTTAAAGGTTTCCCATTACTCTTAGAATAAAGAGAAAACTCCTTAATATGCCTCATGGCCTGTATGGCCTACCTCTTTTTCTGATCATCTCTCTTCCACTGTCCCAACAGCAAATTCTCTCCTGTCACAGGGCCTTTGCTCATGCTGGTCCCTCTGCTGGTAATGTTGTCCCTCTCCCTTCACCTGGATAATCCCTCCTCACCCTTCAGATTTCAGTGCAGCCATCTTTTCTTCTAGGAAGCTGTCCCTGACTTCTCTGACAAGGTCAAATCCCCCTCTTGGGTGCTAAGTGCTCCACTGTAACACTCAGCAGAGTGGGGGTTTTATTTGTATAATTGATTTAAGGCCTTCCCCCCCACTAGTCCATATGCTTCAAAAGGACAGGAACTGTTAGTAATTCTGCCTTGTTTGCAGGAAATTATTCCAACCCAGAAGAAATGCTAATATAATTCCCTTTAAAAATAATCATCGTGCAGGTAGAAGAACTAAAAACAGGGCAATAAGAGAGGAATAGAACCAAAGAGTGCTCTGATATTGTGTCTGCAAATTCTTCTTGCTTAGGGAGCTAAAGATAAGTCAGCCTGCTGCAGCGAGCCTCCATCCTGTGCAGTCCAGAGATGAGTGCCCACTGTGCCCATCGCACCCTCAGAGGGTCTGCCTGTATCAGCACCCAGTGGTCACTTACAGCTTTGAGCAGTTCTTTTGTCCTGTGGACAGATGTCTTCACCTCCCAGTGAGATGCTCAGCTACTTGAGGAATATACCCTGTTCTTCCTAGCAACCTCCATCTCCACTAACTCTGAGCTCTGTAGCTAAGGAGGCACTCAATAAAAACCTACTCATCCCACATCCACTCTGTGTGAGCATCACGAGGGAGGCATTTTTGTCAGTTAATTCCTTACTGTATCCCCAATAACTAAAAGTGAGCCTGGCACACAGTGGGTTCCTAGCACATCTTGGTCAAATGTGTGAGTTCTTGGATACCCACCAAGGACAAGGCTCTAGCTGCTGGAAATTCAATAGTATAACAGAGTTGGTTTCCCTGTGTTACTTCTATTGTTAACCTCACCTTGAGTTATTCTAACTTAAGCCCATTTTGAACTCAGTTTTAACCTTATTTCTACTCAATACAACTCAATGTGCACAGCCCCAAAGAAAGCATAATCAACTCTTTTTACAAAGGCAGGCCCTTTTTTAAAGCAACGTAAGTTTTTCGCTCTCCCCCACCTCCATTCAGTGAGTTTGGATTGTTTCTGACCTCTACACTTAACACATTTAAGAAGTATGTTTTGATGTAGAGTGAGAACCTCAAGTCATTCTGGGAACTGCTTAATTACATAAACTGAAATCAAAAGAAAGCTGGCAAACCCAGTGGCTACTCATTAATCCCCTCTTGGCATCAGTAGAAAACAAAACAAAAAACCAACTTCCTGGTAAAGTAAGCAAATATGTTTTCTGAGGTCATCAAAGATTTTAAAAGCCTTATTCCTCCTCCCCCTCCCTTAATCTCACCTAAAAAGTTACGGTCTCATGACAGCAAGT